TGGTTACCACCGTGACATGCTCCGTGATGTGACTCGCGAACCCCTCTACAACTTGAAGCTGCTGCTCGTCGCCTTGACCTCCGCCTTGGCCTTGTTCCCGTCGAGCCCGACAACCTCGCCCTTGCGGTTGATCACCTTGACCCCGCCCTTCTTCAGGTCCGCCATCGTATCCTTCTGCATCTGCGCCTTCTTGCTGAGCGGCTTCTTGTCCGTCCCGCCCGCCTTGCGGATCCGCTCCTTTTCCCGGCGGCGCCGCCGCACCTTGTCCTCCCGCGACATCTCCTCCCGCGCCATCGGGAGGCCGCTCTTGCCCAGCACCACCTCGCCCTTCTCCGCCGTCTCCTTGCCGGCCTTGTACACCTCCTGCGGCGCAATCATGCTCTGCCCGCCGCTGACGCCCTGCGCCGTCGCCGGCTGCGCGTCCTCCATCGCGATCGTCGCCGCGTCCGACACCACCGTCAGCGACGGCGCCGCCGCCTTGGGCTTGTAGTGCCAGTTGCTCAGCGAGTCCAGCTTCGCGCTCAGGTCCTTCCACATGCGCTCAATCTCGGCCTCTTCCTTTGCGAGCTTCTCGTCCGACTTGCTGACGTAGTTATCCGGGTCCGCGTTCTTGATGTGCTCCTCCTCGTAGATCTCCGCCAGGCCCTTGCCGGACTTGGAATCGTCCAGCTCAATCAGGCCCCGGCGCGTGTTCTCGGGCATGTTCTCGGCGCCGGGCCGGCGTCGGGTGACCTCGTCAAAGTCCTGCGCTAGGATCCTCCGCTTAATGAGCTCCTCGATGCTCTCGCTGACCTCGGCCGTGATGATGGGCACGGGCTTGCCCAGGTGCTCAAACGACATGTCCTCCTCGAGCAGCGAGTTCATCGGGCGCTCGGCGGCGGACGCCTCACCAGTCAACGTCCACTGGCGCTTGGCGACCGACTCGGCCTCGAGCTTACGGATCTCCTCGGCGAGCTTGGCCTGGCGCCTCTCGTGCGCGGACCGGCGCGACCGCGGGTCGCCCGCTGAGGCGTCGGACAGGGCGTCGTCCGAGTCGTCTCCGTGGTCAGAGTCGTCGTCAAAGAGGTCCTTCTTGACGTCCGCCATGGCACGCTCGACGTCCTCCTCCTGGACTGCCTTGGGCGCGAACCGTACAGACTTGTTCTTCTTGTATTTGCCGTCCTTGGAAGCTTTCTTCGCCGGTGGTGCGAAGAAGTCCTTGAAGTAGATGCCGTTTGCGTTGAACTCTTCCTCCTCGTTGTCCATGGCGTCGTCCATGTCCTCGTCGTCACTGGCACCCTCGGGGGCGTTGAGGTCCATGTCGCCGAAAGTAGGCCCATCGTCTTCCGAGTCCTCCTCGTCTGAGCCGGCGTCGTCCTCCATATCAATGTCCTTATCCTTGTTTTTTGATGAGCTGGACTTGGCTGATGGTGCCATGGGGTCGGCGTTCCAGTCGATATCTTCGTCGTCGCTGTTGGCGTCCGTGTTGGGGTCTCCTCGCGCATCCTGCTCTTCGAACCACTGGGTTTGCTTATTGAAGGTGTCGATTGAGAAGAATCCGTCATTGAGTCCGTTAGGGTCCTCAACGTATTCCTCCTCATCGTCCTCTTCTTCCTCGTCGTCTTCTTCGCCGTCCTCTTCCTCATCGTCTTCGTCCATGTCTTCGAGATCACCCGTGAGACCCTCAACGTCCGAGCCCTCAAGCTCCTCCGCATCAGAGTCCTCTTCGACGTCCTCCAGATCAGAGCCTGAGAGCTCTTCTTCGTCACTGGAGCCCTCCTCCTCGTCGTCGTCGATATTTTCGGAAGCCGTCTCGAAAGAGAGAATAGAGCTCTCCGAGCCATTGTCCTGGTTCGTGACAACCTCATTCCGGTCCTCGAGCTCCTGCAGTGTCTCCTTGGAGTGGTTCAAAGCGCTCTGGATGATACGACGAGCCTGCTGCCAAACCTGGCTCGTCTCGAACCCGTCGACGTGGACCTTGCGAATCTTGAGAACATCGGGTCCCGCGCCGCCGCCGTCGGCCCGCTTGCGCTTCTTAGTCGCCTCCTTCAGCAGGCGCAGCTGCTCGTCGCTGATCTGGCCGGCGAACGCATCGAGCGTGTCCTTGACGACCTGGAGAGAGGCGGAGGGGATCGCGGGCGGCGGTTGGAGAAAGGTGTGTCGGTTCTGGGCGTCCAGGTTGTCGAAGAGGGCCTTTACGTCGACGAGGCCGCCGTTGGGGAGCTGAGCGGCCATGCCGGGCGCAAATGTGAGGGTATTTGACGTCAGGGAGGAAGATGTGCTGCTGCCCGCCGCCATGATACTTTTTTTTTATCGTGGCTCGCTCACTCGGAATATGCGTGTTTCGGCCGTGCAAGAACTGGACTCTTCATTTTTTTTTGGGCCAGACATGGGCTTGCGCTTTCCGTCAAAAAAATTTGGGACCCCGCAAAACGTCCGGGTTCGTGGGTCTGACAGTGATTGGCCAATGAGATCTACGCTGCCTGTCAAGCCCCATTAGCTAATCACTGCGGTTCATCCGTTCTGCTCCTGTTCCTGAACCTCTTTGAGTCGGTACGTATGGAATGATAGTTGCATTCGCCATTAATTGCAAAGTATAATCAAATCACTTGAGGGTAGTATGTAAGACGATCCAATAAATTTCAGGAGCACCTTACACAGAATATTGTTAGCTGCCTTACCTACCCAGCGAAGTCCAAAAAACCAAGATTGGTTCACATTGGTTTCATAGCCTAACGAAGTTGCAGTAATAGTGAAGCTATTAATATCAATGCCTACACGGAATCCATAAATCTTTGTTTGCCTGTGCAAACATCCGCTGTTGAATCCTGCTAAACTTTTGGTAAGATTCCAGAACGTCCCGCCTCGGTTGTGGGGCCGATCTGGTCCAAGGTACCTCCGCAAGATTACTAAGAATGGCAAGACCCCAACGGCCTCGACTTACACATCCCAGCCCGTCACACCTTGCTTCATCTCACACTCTACCTTGGGATCCAGAGTATCTGCGAGCTTTTGTTACCAAATATTCCAGCTTAGTCTCCTTATTTGAGCTGAAACATAACAGCGGCTTCGACTAAGGCCCACCTGCAATTCAGTTTCATCCGTAAGTCTTTTTTCTCGTTCGGACTTCAGAGTGGAGAAGCACTCAGTTGGACCCCTGAGCCCTCGTCCACGTTCATCATCCTAAAGCCTTCTCCCTCCTTCATCATCATCTTTGATGGGATGCCACGACAACTTGCTCTCAGATCTATCTTGCTCTTCATTGTTTCTCGCGAAAATTGATCAACCACAGTATACTGCATTATGAGTCACAAGCTAAACCCACAAGCAGCATCGGCAAAACGAGGCGCGATCTCCCACGTGGACGTAGTTCAAGTAAAAGGGAAAGGAGTTTAAGTTCTATTTCAGCCAGACGAAATAAAGTCACGACCAGGGACTCCATCATTTGCTAAAGGTCACGGACAACCAACCTTTGGCACCTTTCGCGCCATCCAAGACCGTCTTCCACCGTACGTACTATCCAGTACACGTTGCTAGAAGGTATCCTACAGCGTCCCACGCGCCTTCAATATGTCCAAAGTGGGCGTATCAGACGATCCGGCCGCAGCAGTCGCGGCATCCCGTTCGGATGGCAAGACCCATCTATTGCTATGCGCCAGCGGCTCAGTTGCCACCATCAAACTGCCCAACATCATCAAAGCCCTTGGCCATCACAAGAACCTCGCCATCAGAGTCATCCTTACAGCCTCGGCAACGGAGTTTCTGAATGGCTCAACAGAGGAACAGCCCTCTCTTGCCACAATAAGAGCGCTGCCAAATGTGGAAGGCATTCACTTGGACGCGGATGAGTGGGTGCAGCCTTGGCGGCGGGGTGCGTCGATTCTGCATATTGAGTTGCGGCGGTGTAAGTCAAGATGTTTTCGTGGTGACTTTCCCACCTTTTCGATTCCCTGCTAAGTCATGTTTCTCGTGCAGGGGCTGATCTAATGCTCATCGCTCCACTATCGGCGAACACGCTGGCCAAAATCGTCAACGGCTTCTCAGACAATCTCTTGGTGAGCATCAGACAACCAAGATTTACGTCTTGCACTGTTACTAATGCTTCTGTAGACGAGCGTCGTCCGAGCATGGGATGCAGACGGACTCATCGACGGCCGGAAGAAGAAGATCCTCGTGGCTACGGCGATGAATTCGGCCATGCACGCGCACCCCATCACGGCAAAGCAGGTCAAGGTGCTTGAGGAGGAGTGGTCGTGGTTCGAGGTGTTGAAACCAATCCAGAAGACGCTTGCTTGCGGTGACACGGGGGGCGGTGCGATGATGTCGTGGGAGGATATAGTCAAGGTGACGGAGGCAAGGCTTGGCCTGTGATACCAAGTCACCTATGCAAGTTCCCGGAAGGAATATCAACGAGGCTGGCCTTTTTGCATTTCTGACCTTATACGCATGGCCGTTATCTTCTTGGCTCACTTGGTCATCAAGACACTGAACAAATAGACAGAAACGAAGGCAGTCAGTGGGAAGGCCACTTGCGGATGAGGACAGATGCGGCGTGGAGACTTGATTATAGCACAGGAATCCCAGCAAGCACGGTATTCTCTTGAGGTTGCTTCTATTTTGTTCCACATATCCGTTCATGCTGTTCAAAGGCGTTCAATCAATCGCACCCCGTACGGTGATCCACGGATCCATAATCAACAAGATATGTTAAGACATACGAATCGCTATGCCTGTGCTGATTGTGCGCATAGCAGAGGAGAAGATCCGTCGATTTGAAGTGGACTGAGTGAGAGAAAAAGAAAAAGAAGGGAGGCGTACTTGAATTGATCAGTCAGAAACATTTGTTCAACACCTGTTGGAATTATCCAGAAGCCAGTCAGAATCAGAATACCTGAGATGGGTTTCATGAGCTCAGGCTGGGGGGATGACATTTGCCGTGCACTGATTGGCGGTCTGGGCAGTCCACATGGAGTCCGACCTCGGTGACCTCGGTGAGTCAAGGCCCAAGCTCCCTCACCGCGAACCACACCTCGGATTACATCACCCATTCCGCAATCCCATGACATTTTCGCATTTCTCATCAACTGCCTGCCCCCGTTGACCACCTCTTCTACACACCCACTCCACAACCAAAATGTTCTCAAGGACGTTCCTCCGCTCAGTAAGCTAAGTCCCAGTTATAGGAACAATTTCAACGGCCCTACTCATCTCGTGCGCAATCGCTGACAATTGGTGTGCCTTTTTTCCGCAGAATTTCGCAAGGCAAGCCGTCCGGCCGGCGGCGCGCCCAATCGCCTTCCGGGCCCCGCTCCCCTTCCTCACCCAGCACCGCCTCATCTCCGACGAGACGAAGCAGGCCATCGAAAACGCCGTCGGCTCCGCGCCCGTCGTGCTCTTCATGAAGGGAACCCCGGAGACGCCGCAGTGCGGCTTCTCCCGCGCCTCGATCCAGATCCTCGGCCTCCAGGGCGTCGACCCCTCCAAGTTTGCCGCCTTCAACGTCCTGGCCGATCCCGAGCTGCGTCAAGGTAAGTCGACACGCTCTGTACACAATTCAAGACACTCGCTGGGACGAAGTTTTGCGCTGGAAGGAAAATAATAGCTGACCCCCTTTTGTGTTTGTGTAAACAGGTATCAAGGAGTTCTCTGACTGGCCCACGATCCCCCAACTCTACGTCGACAAGGAGTTTGTCGGCGGATGCGATATCCTGGTTTCCATGCACCAGAACGGCGAGCTGGCCAAGCTTCTCGAGGAGAAGAAGGTCCTTGCCGAGACCGAGGGCGAGGGCGAGAAGAAGGAGTAAGAGGAGGGAATGCTAGATATCCCACGCTGGAAAAGCGTTGGGGACTGTACAACTGTATCATACCAAAGGAAGGGGCAAGCTACGCGTGGATCATGGCCGGAGGAAATAGAGTGGTATTTATTGGCAAAGACCTAAACACTTTTTAATTATGTACCCCTTTTTATCCAGTCGAAAATCGTGTTCAAATGATGATGAGGTAGGTAAGCGCTGCGATGCTATCTCTATTCCTAATAGGCGATCAGATGAAGCCATTAAGAAAAAAAAGCCTCAGGGCTGGCGTTTCGACACAACGAGATTCTGTCGCTCAGGCAAGATTCAGTTGAAGGGCTCCATTGTTGACATGCTGCACGGAAGCAAATAAGCCACGGCGCGGAATCAAAGGAGCAAAAGACAGTTCCTCCACTTGGGATCGAACCAAAAACCAAACGCCAGAATATAGTATCAACGGGACTGAGATCCACACTCGGGTCTTCCCCCATGAGCCCCTCGACCACTTACCCCGAGTCGCTTGGTGATTGTCTTGAAGGCTGCGTCGAATATATGGTGACATGGTGACTTGGGACCTCAATGGTGGATTTGGGATGAATACTCCGACGGTCAAGGCTCGCTTCGCTTCCATTTCCCACATCATGGTCACTAACATTACGGCTACAACATATCTGAAAACTCGGCCTCATGCGCCTCAAAGCGCCGGGTACGCAGCACCATCACCGCGCGGGTCACTTCCCGCAGACCACACGCCCGTCCCCTCGACCGTATCGACGGTATGTCTGATGATCTGCCCGCGGCCAAACAGGCCCCTCTCAGATCCGGTAACAACCTCAACCTTATGCCCCAGCTTCCGCAGACCCTCTACCGTCGCCTCCGGCATGCCCTCCTCCACGCTGACAGTCCAATCAAAGTCGGCGTCCCTCTCGGGCAAGCCAGCGACAATACACACGCGCGGCGCATCGAGCGTCTGCTGCGGCGTGAGGCCCGCGACCAGCTGGCCGAGGAGAACCTGCACGTGGCCCTGGGGCTGCATGAACCCGCCCATCACACCGAAAGCGCTGTGCAGCGACCCGTCGGCCGCGTTGGTCACCATGCCGGGGATAATGGTGTGGTAGGGTCGCTTCCTGGGCTCCAGCTTGTTGGGGTGGTCCGCGTCGAGGCTGAAGTTGGCGCCGCGGTTTTGCAGCGTGAAGCCGCAGCCCTTGGGGATGATGCAGGTGCCGAAACCGCCGTAGTTGCTGTTGATAAAGGACGCGGCGTTGCCGTGCTCGTCCGAGACGGAGAAGTAGACGGTGTCGCTGCTCTGAAGAGCGGGGGACACGTGCTTGGGGGGCTCGCCGACGTGGAGCTTCTGCATGGCCTTTGTCGGGTCGAAGAGCTTTGCGCGGGCGGCCGAGTACTCGCGCGAGATGAGGCCGGCCGAGGGCACGGAGACGACGTTGGGGTCCGTGACGTACCAGCTCGCGTCGGTGAAGCCGAGGCGGAGGGCCTCGATGACGGCGTGGAGGTAGGGTGCCGTGTTGTGGTCCTCTGCGGACCAGGCGGGGACGACGCCCGAATCCTGGAGCTCCTGGATGATACCGAGGGCCATGAGGGCGACGATGCCCTGGCCGTTGGGTGGATGCTCCCAAACTTCGACGGCACCGTCGCCGCTGCCGCCGGATGACGCGCCGTTGGCCTCCTTCTGCAGGGCGGGCTTGAACTTGAGTGAGATTGGGTCGACGGGCTCGCTTCCCAGCTCGAGATGGTGGGCCAGGTCCTCGAGTTCCAGGTGGCCGCCGAGATCCTTGACGACCTTGACCAGCTCTTCGGCGATGCGCCCCGTGTAGAAGCCCTTCTTGCCCTCCTTTGCGAGGGTGCGGAAGGTTTGCGCCAGGGTGGGGTTCTTCATGATCTCGCCGGGGTTAGGCGCCCTCACGCCGTCTGAGGCCTTGGGATCCTTCTTCAGCATTTCTGCAAAGTTTGGAGAGGCCTCTCTGATCTGGGGCTCTGCGGTGTTCCACTATCAAAAGGTGTCAGCAATCGCATCTTGACAAGTTTCTATACACAACTCGAAATCTGGGATCATAGAAGACGTAAGAACGTACGTAGTGACTCGTCAGCTCTGAGACGGGGAATCCTTTCTCTCCGAGCTCGATAGCCGGGGACAGCACACGCTCTAGGGAGACCTTGCCGCTGCCGAAGCGCTCGATGGTGTCGACCCAGCCTGAGGCGGCACCGGGGACGGTCACGGCGTGGACGCTCTTCATGGGGATCTTGCCCGATGCGCCCTCCTCGATTCCGAGGTCCTTGCGGATGGTCTCGAGAGTCGACTTCTGAGCAGAGCGGCCAGAGCCGTTCATGGCCGAGACCTTCTTGGTGGCAGCATCGTAGAAGAGGATGAACATGTCGCCGCCGATGCCCGTGGAGCACGGCTCTGTCATGTTCAGTCCGGCAGCTAGAAACAACGCAGAATCATTAGCGGTCTAGTTTCACTTTCCATAACGATCGCTTCATTTCGAGGACGCGATAAACCGGGTGGGTTGACTAACCAACTGCAACGGCAGCATCCTGATCACTTGTTGTTAGTCTTGATCACAGATGCATTGACTCAGGAGAGTGAGGTGAGGCGCGACTTACAGCGGCATTACCGCCGGCCTGGAGGATTTCGATACCACATTTTGCGGCCAGCGGCTGCGTGCAAGACACGATTCCCTTTGTACTGTGAACGACACTCCGTCGGCTAGCGAACTTTGAGAATTCGCTTGCTTGCGCCGAGTGGAGGGACTCGCTGGTGAGGGGCATGGTGAATCGCGCGCGTGGTGCGGGGTTATCGATCGCGATAACCGATAGGGAATGGTGGTGATGATGAGATGGAGGGGCAAGTCTGATTTGGGGGCCAGAAGAAGTATTATGAGATGAAAGGCGATGTGATCTCAGTCTCTTTAGGAGAATGAATAATTCGGAGGTCAATTATTTGTATGAAATGTCTGAAATCTCTGGGAAATGTAGATGTTGTCATTCAAGGGCGTAAGGTGTAGCGAGTTCGGAGATGGGAATGCGCAGGACAGGTGCACAGATAGATAGTCCCCCTTGGTCCGGGTCCAGGTTTTCGGGAAATCTAGCCGATGGAGAGGGATCAGGTTGTCTAGTCGACGGGGGATATAATGCCGGTAGTCGGTTAAGGAGAAGGAGCAATCAATAGGATAGGTCAAAACTTGAGCGTTGAAGATATAATGATCCTGTACGTAATGCCTAGGTTCGGGCTTCCCAGGGTGTTTACCGAGAGAGGTAGGTCGATAAGTGAACGGCGCGGTACGGAGCAGGATGTGGACGGGGGAAACTGGCGCTAGTGGAGTTTGTGCTCCGCGTGAGAAGCTTCCCGGGGTAGATGCCGAGAATGAGATTGGTCGCAAAGTTGGCAACTCAGTTGACAGAATGAGTAGTGCGTGAGCTCAAGTGGTGCGAGCGACAATGAAGTATGAATGTCGACACGGGGCGCGTAGGAGTCTTGCGTGATGACTTTTGATTTTCAGAAGAAAGTCTGTATATTCAAGTGACATGTTGCACGTCCTCTGTTAGCTAGCCAAGATGGAATGGCAGATGGAGGAAAACAAGTTATATAAGCCATCAACAGGGCGTATTCAGGTAAGGTCATTCATTACACGTGGAACTATCCCTCGCGGTAGGACAACGTCAGGCACTTGCAGGGAGGGAGGGGTTCTCTCAACATCTCAAGTATCCGGTCTGGGAAGAGAAGACCCCGAAACGGTCACTTTCAGCACTGTCGTGCCCACTGTAACGCCGCACCGGCGGCCGCCGCCGGCAAAAGGTCCGAAACTCGGGGCTTGTTTCAACGGCGCCAGTGTGGCATTGTAGCACGGTCGTAAACGATGGAGGAGATGTAGTGGCAGTGGTAATTAGAGTGCCGTAGCAAGTTGTCAAGCGAACGGGGAAAGTCTAGAATAAGGAAATTGGAATTATTTGAACTTTCTCGTGTACATCCCATCCTTTTCCAGCAGTGGCTTGGGTTCGTCATCCCATGTTCTTGGTTCGTCTTCCTTGTTAATGCCCTCGGGGTCCGGATCTCATGACCAATCACCCAATCTAGCACTGCACTCTTCCGTCATATAGCAAGTTGGGACCCAAACAGGCGGATCATCCCGCCGGTTGTAAAAGCCTACGACTGCGAACTGACACCCCGAAACGTGGGTCTGATCCGAATAGCGATCGCGAGCCTAGCCAAGCCGGACTTTTAGACTCCATGCCTAGAGAACTAGAACCAGTAGTCCAGACACCTCTCTCAACAAGATAACCTCTCCTTCTAGAACAAACTCTAAAATAAGCAGTCCTGGATGAGCGCAGGGATGTGAGCTTCACTTCGCATCAACCGGCTACCCCTCCAACTCAATCAAGACCTCCATCTTGTCAAGAGCAGAGGAAGAAAAGGACAGCGTGTCTGTGAGCCCCGTTGGAAGAGTCTTAATACAGGTCAAATATGCGATGAATGTGTTTCAGTTCCTGGAAAGTTTTCGAGTTGCGCTTGTCGTCTTTTGTTCGACATGTTCATGCAATATTGATTCTAGACTGCAAACGTCGTCTGGTTGTCAAGATGATTGGGCAATCACATGCTTATGACATCGACTGACCCCCAAATTTGTACGTCGGAGGTAATCAAGATCAACAATTACCTTCGAGGCTTGCAAGCATCGCCAAGTCCTGAGATTCTTCGATAGAAAATCTTTAAATTACTCGCGAACGCTATAAGTGTATCCATAACTCCAGTGACGGTTCTAGCTCAACTTTGAAATCACGTTGTTATGGCATAGACATGTACTCGGTCGGCGATTGGCTCGACAGCTCTTGTGAGAAAGACACATAGCGACGCCTTCGATGTAACGCCAGTTAGCCTTGAAACGGATCCGCTGGATTTACGTAGGACGGCATACGACCCTCTTGATGGGTAGACGTGATGGATACTAACACGCTACTACTCACATCCTTTTTTGGAGATTTCTGTGGCCGCTGTCAACTCACCATCATCCGAGAGGCACTCGTTTTTTTAAACCAGAGAGATGTAGCGGCCAATGAACCATGTGGTCTCATGTCGTTTGCTCCGATGTCTTACGAGCTCACACGACCTGAACGTGTCTGACTTCAGATGGTAGTCAGCCTTACTGCAGGGGCAGCCTACGTCTCTAGCCTCTAAAATATTTTATCAGAACTGCTTAACAGGCGAATTGCCACGGACGAGACGCTGATAGCCAAGACAGAGGATACAGTTCAAGATTCTAGAGGCACTTCACTGGCTGACTTCCTTTGAATTCCAGTGAGCATTGCCTCCATCAAGATCATGGTTCTACCAGCTGGATACCTTCTTTTGCTTGATTTATTCCCGTAGCCCAGCGTACTCGAGGCATCGCTGGATAAAGCCTGCGAAGCCTCGAGCTGAGCGGTACGCGATGGTCAACACATTCCTGTGACAAGGGTATCCTGTAGCATAAAAGCTGATGACGAAGGGTTCCATGCGGCTCCGAAAATGTCCTCCTGGGTTCAACAAAAGTTGCGCAGTCATGTATTACAGCGATTTGTCAGAATACTGTTACTTAAGGTAGGTGGCAACTGGGAACATTGAAGGCTGAGATGGCGATGCCGAATTGAGCAACAGTGAGACAACGACTTCGTTAAAAATAAATGTTCGGTTCCTGGCATACACCCGAGGTTTTCTTCTCTAGTTCATTGGATCAAGGGACGTTTTAGCCCCCGCAGCCTGATTTTGGCGATATTCTTTCACGCGCTAATTGGTTGTGATCCTGTGCGGTGCGACGTACACAATATGCAAGTCAGCATGTAGCCTGGTGACATTAGTGTCGCCAAGGGGCTGGAACTTTGAAGGATCGTAGCAGCTGCTCGATGAGGGTACAGTCTTCGATAATGGACCTCTTTGATATTTAGTGTCGTCATTCGGACAACCTGATATCTCAAAACTCTGGCTTCGACTTCTGGCTCGTCTTTCAGAAGCAACACAGCCAGCGATGTCGAAGAAGAGATAAATAAGGTCTTTCTTTACGATCTCTGACCCAATTACGCATCACTGAATAGCATGAGAGGATCCTCCACAAGTCCCGAGAAATTACTCTGACATGGCGGCTGCCCATACCTTGAGTATGGACTGGTCTTCTTGGCTCTCCGGCAGTCCGGATTGGGCCGGCACCGTGTCCTCTATCTACGACAGAGCAAAACACTCGGAAACCCCTAACATCACTGTATTTCTGCCATATCGTTGGAATCAATCATCATCGGCCTTTGATGCACAGAAAGACTGCTATGACACGAAATCTCTGTTCGGTTTCTCTACGACGGGACGTGGTCCTACCACAGCAAACTTATACGGGTGCGCCGCCATTGCGACTTCGGCATACCTTGTGCAAAATGAGAACTTCGTCGTCGATAAGAGCGTCAACGAAACGATCTCGAGAGTGAACTTGGACTCTCTAAAGGATTTCAATGCCACGCGGGTTTTCGAGCAGATTGCTGGCTGTATCGAAAAGTCCTGCATCGGAGGAAACCCTTTGGGAGAATGCGACCCCGGCGTCGCGAAGCTCACGCAGAGCCAAGTGAAGGCTGATGAACTGGATAAAGTCTTGGAACCCCTCGAGGACTTGTGCTCCGTCCTATCAAAAGGACCGGAAGCTGACATTGCTGGGCCTGGTGTAAGTTCAACCTTGACACCAGAGGAGGGAATTATCGACCCCCGTTACTGATAGAAACGATAGATTGCAGTTTCCTACTACATACAAGTCGCATTGAGTATCTGGTTCTTCATCTTCTGCGGTCTACTTCCCCACCAACCCGACTCTTCCATCTTCTTCGGCACGTTGCTTGCTTTCAGGTGGGTTTTCAGGCTTTTCCGCAAGCGCTCAGAGACCGAGATGGACCGCCTGCGCTCGACCCTGGCGCACCTACGCTCAACCCGTTTCTCCGTCGCCTTGTGCTCAACCATGATTGAGTTCCAAGAGACACAGGCCTTTTTCGTCATGGCCATTGAGACGGCGACCCTGACTATGGTTATCATGAATAGCCAGTCCCTTGCCATTCGAGTTGATGTCGGTGCCGCCAAAGTCTTTGCGAGCTCCAACACGTTGCTGGTCCTCATCACGCAGGCCATCATGCAGCGCAGAGGCATGTACTGGTGGTACACGTTTATACTCACAGCCATTGTGTATGTTCTATGCGCCATCATTCAGATGCTCAGCCTTCCGACGCCGTCAAATCTCTCGAACCCGTCCCCGGAATACGCAACCTGTGGCGGAAGGCACAGTATCTTGCAAACATGTCTGCAAGCTGAATACAGCGATTACTACATTTATGGCGGCTATTTACAACCGAGTGATCAAACCATTCAGTTCTTCATCTATACATCAATCATGGTCTTTCTGACGGCGGATCATCTGGGCCACCTCCCTCGGCTCCGCAGAATGATGGCCTCGGCAAATCAAGGTCTAAAAGGGCGTAAGATCCAGACACCCGCTTGGGTTCTCAAGACTTTGTCCGTCCTGGGAAAGATCCTGTGGTTTCTCCTGGTGGCTCTCATGGCTTATACTCTTCTGGTCAACATTGTTCAGGTACATAGCTTCGTTCGTGAAACAATGCGCAGCAAAGAGCAGTGGACTTTTGGCCAGGTTGTTGCGGTGCTGGTCTGGGCACCAGTACTATCAAAGTACATCTACTACAACATCTGTAAGTTCAACTCTAGCATAATGCAATATGAAGTTCTTGAACCTTAGCACAATGGCTGACTATATTATCCTTCTAGTCGGCATCGAGCTCGGCGTTGGCAAGCGGATAGACGACCAGTACAAGGTTGTGCTCAACGAGGAGAAGACACCATCAACGCCTCCTAGAGCACAAGGACGCTTCGATTCTTCGAGGAGCTTGGTGGATGAAAGTAGTTACATCAGCTTGAGCACTATTGGTGATGGTCATGAAGATCAGAGACCCGCGAGGATAGAGACAAGGTCGTTCTCAGGCGGGGTGAAGCGCAAACCATTGCCACCTAGGACCGACGGCGAGTTGCCCAGATGAGGTGCGTGGGGCTGGAAACACAGAGGGCGGATTGTAACTTCACTTCATAATAATTAAAGAAGAATTTTTTCATCGTGATTTTGGTATTTCAAGGTTTTCAAGATGATTGTCTTTCGCGTATGCGGCAACGCTTACCGCTTGACCTTGAGCACTGTCTGAAGAATTTATTCTTAGGCCTCGAGATGTTTCCACGATGCGATATGCACCTTAGACTCCGCTGCAACGGCTCTGAGGTGGCTGAACCTTTCTAACCTACCTGCAAGCTATTCCAACCTTGCCCTGGCATCCGCAACGATTGTCCGCAACCTTGTGTCCTTTCCTGGGATTTCAACGACAAACTTCCGTGAAACCACCATTATGGCTAGTATTTTGCGGACCTTGTCGTGACTCTGGGGTTTCCTCAAAGCTTTCTCCGAAATTTGTTCTCCAGAAAGCTATATAAAGGAGGCTTATTCCCTTCAGGGACCAGAATCTCATCAGTCTCCCAACCCATTACAACACACATCTTCCTCAAGTTGATTGATCATCTCTCACTCACATACAACCACCGATCATCAACTTACATACCCAACTACACACAAACAAGCAAAAAACCAAAGTCTTCAAGATGCCCTCCCAGACTTGTACTCTCTGCTTCCTCACCCTGGCCCTTGCTGCCACAACCTCAGCCATCGCTATTCCAGCCGAGGCAGTTCCCACCCCCACTGGCATTGCTCCTACTTCCACCATCAGTTCAGTCGTCAGCAGCTCTTCCACAGTCGACGCTGCTACACCCTCTTCTTCAGACAACGTCCCAACTGAGGCAGTGAACTGGAATTGGGCGAGCGCCGCCCTCGACATCATGAAGTCCAACATCAAGGGCAAGGAAGACAACTTCAATATCAAAGAAGAGGAGAACCTTTCTACTCCCTCTTCTATTGAAACCACAGCTCTGGTTGTCCCAACCATAAGCAACACCTTCAGCATTCTGGTCACTCCGGCCCCCAGCAGCTCCGCCATCGTAGCGCCTGCGCTCACTCTCACCCACGACACCTCAGCCAAGGCTGTTCTAACAGACGAGGCCGTGGCCTGGAACTGGGCCCTCCCCGCCCTCAAGCTTATTGAGAGCCGCGAGCTCGGAGACTCCACATCCTTCGCCAACCGCCGCACAGGTGACAGAACCGACAAGGTAGACAACTCCCACGTCGTGGAGGACAAGTCTGAGCATGATTCCGAACATCTTCAGCTCGATGAGGCCGCAAAGGAGAGCATCAGACAAACCAAGCCTCCTTCCCTGCCGCTGCAGACCGCAAGCCCCAGCATGAAGAAAGAAGTCAAGCCTACCAATGTCAAGGCTGACTTCACTATCCAAACCGAGACTCGCCTCTTCAAGACCATGGCAACTCCAGTTATTAAGGCTCGCTCTCCTACACCTATGACAATAGAGCCTGAGTCAACGCCCACCGCTGAAGACAAGGCGGACTTCACTATTCAGACTCAGACGAGTCTGTTCGAGACCGCCGCCACTCCGACGGCTGAGGCTCAGATGCCCGCTGCCACAATCACGATGGAGGTTTGAGACTCCTCGATGGACATGAGAGAGGGGATGGAGGATCATTACTACCACAAGTAGTCGGTAGTCCCTGGGAGATATCCTTCTCAGTACAATAGAGTAGAAATACAGAAGTGATTACAAAACATACAACCTGTGACCATGTTCTTGATGCTGACTATTGCGTAAAGCGAGTAATTAGGGCTCGTCTATCTTAACTCTTCTGAGTAAATATTCATCTCGTGATGGTATAAAAAGTCCAAAGGGATTCTGGATTCTCGGGTAACCGCGGGCACACTTGAATGCGTTGGCAGTACATGTAAGAGGAATCATTGTGTGTGCGAGCGAGTGCCTCGAGACCTGCCGATACGCACGAAGCAGCTACCTCATTCTGCCTTGAACCAACCCCAGGCAACAAACTCAACTCCAATCAAACGTCAGAGGCCCTCAGCTTTCTCTCCTTTATTCCACATTGAATGTCTCGCTCTAGACAGAGAAAGGTCTACGGAGATGCCTCTTCTCTAATAGGTATAATGGGGAAACCGGCCGACGTGTAAGCATGATGGAGAGGGACGTGATCTCTGTAAAGTCAAAGTCCGTAGCGTACTTTACCACCTAGACACATATCAAATACCTCAGATTCATTGCGAATGAAACGATTAGTATTCACACACCCATCACTGGTTTATATAGAATTCGGGCCAACCGACAACGTCAAGGTAAAGGGGCTTTCCTACCTATACACAAACGAGCTTACTTCCAAACGATACTAAGAGATTCCCATTGAAGCTCCTCCTAGACCTGCAGAGCAGTATCTTCCCTATTCGCATGACTTCCCTTCCTCCAACCATCCGTTGGGTCCCTCTTACTACTAACCCCCTTCTCAGCCCCAACCTTACCCCAACCACCACCACCAGGAGTATTGATAATAATCCTCTCCCCAGGCTTCATTGGCGCACTATTCTTCGCTCCCAGGTTAAATCTCCGCTCCTCATACTCCACCTCCTCGTCTCCCTTCGCCTCCCCAGAAGCACCCTTCAACCTCTTCAACGACTTCTCCCAGCTCCCCTTCTCAACCTTCCTCACCCACACATTCAACCCAGCCTCAGCATCCTCTCCACCGGCGAGTCCATACGGCCTATACACCCGCCTCTCACTTAGAATCGACACCTGCACGGAGATCCGGAACTCGATATCCCTGACAACGCCATCACCGCCGCGATGCTGCCCATCACCACCAGACCCCTTCCTCAACGAAAATTCCCTCAAAATCACGGGATACCGCCTCTCAAACACCTCCGAGTCGGTAATACGAGTATTCGTCATGTGCGTATGCACACCACTCGTGCCCTCCCAGGTCGGTCCCGCGCCGCTGCCGCCCGCAATCGTCTCGTAGTACCCGAACCCTTTTACCTCCTTCTGCCCCGTCACGTTGCCGCCGAAACCAAACGTGAGGTTGTTACAGTCGCCCTGGCTCGCGGCGCACGCCTGGAAGGCCTTGAAGATGACGTCTGTGACGCGCTGGCTCGTCAGGACGTTGCCGCCTACGACCGCTGCGCCGTCTGATGGTGACAACAGCGATTTGGGGGGGATTTTGACGTTGATGGGCTTGAGGCATCCCTGGTTCAGTGGTATGTCCTCCGAGATGAGACACCGGAGGCAGTATATAATGGCACTATACGTCACGGCCTCGGGGGCGTTGACGTTGCCGTAGACTTCGGGTCCGGTGCCCTCAAAATCAAACACAGCCTCGCCCTTATCGGCGTCGATTGTGACTTTGAGACGAATCGGGCTTCCGTCGTCCATGAAGTCCACCGCTTGCAGGTCCTTGCCTTCGAATCGCTTGCTGACTTCCTTCAGTAGAGTACGGACGCACAATTCGGCGTTATTCTGGATGTGAACCATGTAAAACTGCACAGTTTCTTCACCGTACTCCGCAATGAGACCCTCAATCAGCGCGATACCCTTCTGGTTCGCCGAGACCTGGGCTCTCAGGTCGTTGATATTATCGGCTAAGCAGCGGGTTCCACTGCACCCGGGGTACTGTGCAGGTTCGTTATACAACAACTCCGTCACTCTCTTTTCATCGAAACGCCCTTCGCTGACAAGCTTCTCGCTCTTAATCGCAGCGCCCTCTTGGAACAGCTCCTTTGAGTGAGGGGGCATACTACCGGCCGTGATACCTCCGATATCCGCATGATGCGCTCTCGACGCGGCGTAGAAGAGGATTTTGTCGCCCTTGTCGTTGAAAGCCGGCATCACGAGGGTGATATCTGGCAAATGGGTACCTCCGTAGGAAGGATGGTTGGAGATGATGACGTCGCCCTTCTTCAAGTCACCTTTCCAGATTTCGGCTTGCCGTTTGACGCAGGTGGACATTGAGCCCAAATGGACGGGGAGATGGGGTGCATTGGCTACGAGACCGCCCGTCGCGTCAAAGATGGCACAGGAGAAGTCGAGCCTTTCTTTAACGTTGGTGCTGACGCTGGTTTTCTGGAGTGCTCTGCCCATTTGTTCTGCAATAGCCATGAATCGATGACCGAAAATGCTCAGCATAATCGGATCGACTTCTCGTTCGCCTTGATTCGTCGGTGACCTGCATCTCGACGTTAGCTTCACGTTGCCGGATCGAATGTGCAGTACATACCCATCCTCTTTGGATCCTTCCTTGTCGATATCAATCACGACGTGGGTATCAAGAACCAGCGCAGTAGCCTTTGGCGTAACCACGATGGTCTGCGTGCCATCAGCGAGCATGGCAGGTCCCTTGATAGTCTCCCCAGTGCTCAAGTCTTCAAGCTTGTACACCGGGGTATCGAGTCGGCCTTCCTCGAAATACACCTGTTGTCGGTTATGCGCCTTGCTCTGCTCCACATCTGTGCGCTTCAACTCCTTGAGCTGCTGGTCCACTGTCTTCTCCTCGTGCCTAAAGCTCTTTCCAATACCGCGAACGCGTACGTCATCTACAATGATGTCCCGATCGTCGAGTGTAAATCCAAACTCATAGCGATGCTGCTGGATGAAAGCCGTGCCAAAGTCCCAGTCCTTTGCGTCCTTCTGCTCGTCCTGATCCGGCCTGATAATCATCAGCGCCGACTCGGTACCGCGGTACCTCATGTTGAGATACTCCTCAAACACAATTTCCTTCTCATCGAAGCCCTGGTCGCGCAAGGCCTTGCGGGACTTGTCTTTGAGCTTCTCCATCTTGCTCTTAAGCTCGTCCACTGCCTTGCCGGGGTACTCCCAGACCTTGGAATCAGGCTCCTGGCGCTCGTCGACGACGTCCGCGAGCGCCATGCCGTAGGCTGATAATACGGAGGAGTACCTGTGAATAAGAATCTGCTTAATACCGAGGGCCTCGGCGATGGCAACGGCGTGCTGTCCACCAGCACCGCCAAATGTCGCCAAGCGGTGCTTAGAAGAATCGTGACCCTTGGCTTCCGTAATGGACCTGATGGGTCTCGTCATGGTCTCATTCGCAACAGTCAAAAATCCGTACGCCACCTCGTCGACGCTCATACTCTTTCCAGTCTCTTTATTAACCTGGTCTGCAAGTTCCTGTAGGACCTTCTTACTGGCCTCGGGATCAAGTCCCTGGTCCTCATTCTCGCCAAAGATCTTGGGGAAGAACTCGGGAAGCAAACGGCCCAAGTAGAGATTGGCATCAGTCACAGTCGCCGGACCCCCTTTTCGATAGCATGCCGGGCCAGGATGCGCGCCAGCAGACTCGGGCCCCACGACAAACAGCCCATTCTTCCAGAAAAGCATGGAGCCGCCACCCGCCGCAACCGTGTTGATGTCTAGCTGCGGCGATTGGATGGTCACACCGGCGGTGGTCGTCTCAAAGACGTGCTCATATCGTCCCTCGCCGAACCGAGAGACGTCGGTGCTCGTGCCGCCCATGTCGAATCCAATCACGGGAATCTTTGTGTCTTCGTCGTACGACGTGATGGCGTATCCCACAACACCACCGGCCGGACCGGATAGAATGGCCTTGAGCCCGGTGAAATTCTCCACGTCGACCAGGCCGCCGTCGCTTTGCATGAACTCGCATCGGGCCCCCTTGGTACCTTCTTCTTGCTGGACGCTTCTGGTCCCCAAGCCACCTTCAAATCCAGCTTGGAAGCCCGAGATGTACTTTTTGATTGCTGGTGTCAGATACGCGTCCGCGCAAACGGATGTAGCTCGCGAGACCAGCTTGATCATGGGCATGAGTTCGTGACTGAGAGAAATGTGCTTGAAGCCAATCTCTTTTGCAATCTTGCCGACCAAGGCTTCGTGGTCGGGGAATGTGTAGCCGTGCATTAAACACACCGCAATACTGCGAATACCCGAGTCGTAGACCTCCTGCAAATGACCCTTGATACTCTGCGCCTCGGGGCGCTGCAATATCCTCACAGCCTCCCCCGAGGTCCCCTGAACAAGCTCCGCTTTAGCCGCCTCCGGCGTTCCAGCCTTGGCAGACACTTCGGTCAAATGCCTCGTCGGGTCCTCAGCATAGTCCTCCAGCGTAACGCGCTCATCAACCTCGACGACCCTCTCATACAACACATCCGGCTTCCGGATCGCCAGGTCAAAGATCTTGGGCCTGCTCTGGTTGCCGATGGCGAGACAGTCCTTGAACCCCTTTGTCACGACCATGGCGATCTTCTCGCCCTTGCGCTCTAGCAAGGCATTCGTGGCTACAGTGGTGCCCATGCGGATTGAATCAATCCTCTTTGTGTCGAGGGCCTCGCCGCGGGGGATTTCCCTGCCGAGGAAGTGCGACATGATGCGCCTGATTCCCTCAAGGGGCGCATCTTCATAGTTTGCTGGGTCTTCGGAGAGGAGCTTGATGATTGTCTCTTTTCCGTTGAACTCGCCGACGCAGTCGGTGAAGGTACCGCCGCGGTCGATGGCGATGCAGATGCCGCGGTCTCGTGAGTCTGAAGCCATTGTAACGGTAGACCTCGAGAATGCAGGTATGGGGACTCGAAGATTATCTCGCTCAGAGTCTTGCTTCACTTTTGCAATTGAAAATATCAGAA